AATAAATAAATACATACACACACACACACACACACACAAATAAATAAATAAATCAAGCTGTGTTGATTATATATTATGTGCTGGGAGTGGTGTGTGTGGGCACAAGAAAAAGAGAGAATATTGGTGTTTCTGATCCTGAGAGAGGATGAAAGCAGTGGATTTGTGCCGTGTATTCACAATCTCTTTGCTTTTCTGGGAAAAGGGTTCCTATACGACCATGACATGGTGGGTTGAAAGGAGAAGCATTGTGTTTTAAAGCCCAGACTCCAACAAGTACATGTACTGAGGTTGTTTCATGAGTTCTTTGCCTTTTAGCCTCTGCAACTGACCTTTTTGCAACACCGTTTTTGTGGCTGGCCATCCCTTCCACAACACCCATTTTGGAAATTGTCACCCTCCCCACTCCCCACTCATAGAGGCAATTTTGTAAAAGTGCCTACCACACCTTCCCCAGCTGGATTGTCTCTGCCTCTCATTCCTTCTCCCACCCTTCTCATTCCTTTGTTCGCCCTTTGTTCTGAGAAATATGGGGTTTTATTTTATCTTTTTGTTTTAAAATACTTGTTAGAGCTCTTCCTGTCAGCAAGAGTTACTGAACGTTGTCCAGTTTCACAAAGTTTGCAGGCATAGTTTCAACATCTTTTTATTGCTTCACTGGCCCTTCTCTCTTCTTCTGGGCAAATTCCAAACTATAAGGAAAATATATGGGTGTTTTTTAAGTTCTTCGAGCACCAGTAAGCTATAAAAGTGAAAGACAAGCTCTTGTTTTATAGCTCTTTCCCTGCCAGCTCCCATGGGTAAGTAACCTACTCTTCCATTCTTCCTCTTTCCTAACATTCTTCATCATGGCCTCTGTGCATCACACATATGGGTGCTGTGCCTGCACAGTGCCTAAGGCCAGAAAGATTGCAAAGCTTAACAGTTTTTGGCGAGAAAACTCAGCTCCCTTCTCCCTTAACGATATAAATGGAGCGGAGTGCCCACCATTTTCCCAGTCTTCATGCGACCACCATTTGCTGTACCTCAAGCCTTTGCCTCTTTGTTACTACTTGTCTCGTAGATCTCTACTTGTTGTTAGCTGTATAATTCCAAGTTTTTCCCTTCCTGTTTAAAGTTCTCTCCCATTTACTCTTCCATATAAATATATATTACCCTCTTTTTTCTCCTATCTATTTCTATCTTCTGTTCTTCTCGATGGCACAGCGTGCGGCTTTCCGCAAGTGCTCTCAGTGCAGGTCTAAAATGTCTCCAACTGACCTGCATGATCTGTGTCTCCTCTGCCTCAGAGAGGGCCACAGGACTGACAAATGCGGCCATTGCCAGGCCTTTACAAAGCAGGCACGAAAGAACCATGAAAATTGCCTGCGAAAACTCCTGTGGGACCAGGCCTTCCTGCAGTCAGATCAACTGGCTGGCAAATTGCCTGGCTTCGAAGCTGCAACTTCCTGGAAGAGACCAATCGCCGAATCGAAGAGATGCCCTTTGATGGCTCGGTTTTATTCCATGCACGGACAGACCACAAGTTGAAGTCCATCCATGAATCCAGGATGACTGCTCATAGTATGGAAGTCCCAAGCCAAGCCTGACATAAGTGGTCCTGGCCCCATCTGTCCTACAGGTCACAGCCGTATTCTCAATTTTCGAACCGGCAACAGTTTCAGCCCTCTCAACAATGCCAGAAGCAGCATCAACAACAGCACTTCCAGCAAAAGCACTGTCGTTTCCATCCTGACAAACGCCAGTGTTGACAGGATGGGCAAACCTCTCCTCTCCTCTCCTCCTTAACCCACCCTCCCCTCTCCCTTTTGGGGATCGACTACAAAGTCGACTCCCCATTTGGGAGTCCATCACATCTGATCAGTGGGTCTTATCCATTATTCAGCTCGGATGTAGACTAGAATTCGATATCGTTCCCCCGTCAGGACCAATCCGATTTACACCTCACTCATCTCTTCTCGTTGACGAATTTCAACAATTGCTTCATAAAGGAGTGATCCGACAGCTTACATGCTCTGAAGGGCCCCACAGATTCTATTTGAGATATTTTACTGTCCCTAAGTGGGATGGTGGTCTTCGTCCAATTCTGGACCTACGCAACATTAATAGGTTCATCAAAACTAAAAAATTTCAGATGACCACCCTTCAAAATATTTTTCCATTGCTTAGGAGGGAAGATTGATTCGCTTCCTTGGACCTGAGAGATGCCTATTTTCATATTGCCATTTATCTATCCCATAGGCTTCTTCTACGGGTTACTGTCAGTTCCGACCTGTTCGAATTCAACATCCTTCCATTTGGACTAGCTACTGCCCCATGGGTTTTCACCAAATGTATGGCCCCAGTGTGTGCACACCTTCGGCTCCAAGGGATTCAAGTGTATCCCTACCTGGATGACTGGCTGATAGTCTTCCCCTCCTGGGAAAGCCTTCTTTCAGTGTTGAGAATAACTTGTGACCTTCTGGACAATTTAGGGCTGTGCATTAACCATGAGAAATCGTGCTTTATTCCCTCACAGGTCATTGATTTCATTGGCGTATGTCTCAATTCCACCCTAGCGAGAGCTGTTCTTCCATTGAGCCGATGAGACAATTTGTGCTCCTGGATCCGTCAAATCCAAATGGACAGAACTGTTCCAGCTCTCTTGATCCAGAAGCTCCTCGGTCACATGGCCACTTCAGTTGCCACAGTTCCCCACACCAGGCTTCGGATGAGACCACTCCAATTATATTTCAACAAAATGTTTCAGCCACAACAAGACTCGCCCGA